CGGTCACCCTTCCAGCCGCCTATTCCATTGAATTGAAGGCTATGCATGGAAAAACTAACCTTGATCAGTATATATTTGAAAACACCGGAAGGATCGATGTCCACATCAGGAACATTGCTGAGCGTCATAGGATCTTCTCTAAAACTATGATCGTATCGTATGATCGTAAATCTTTTTTTATTTCAAAATTTGAAGCCTTTGATGTTACGCAACGAAAAAATGAAATCAAACAATGGTTTTTGCTAATAAGAACATTTGGACACTCGAAAACAGTCTGGATCACTTTTCAGGTTTGTTTCAAATCCTTTTTTAGCTCCGTAGTGGGTTCCAGAGAGAGATGAAATTAGACTATGGAAGAAAAGCACAAAATAGAGATAAATGCTCCAAGCATGCACCGTGACCAGCACATCAGTGAAGCAACACTTAAAATGGCAGAAATACATATTACGCGTTCAAATGCATGAAAACGTTGTTTACAAAGTGAAGTCCATTCAAAGGGGTTCAAATGGGTACTACGTGAAACTCGTATTTCTAAAGATTTATAAACTAACGTTCCTGGCATAGAAAAGGGAGAACCTAGTGAATCAATCCCTTTGTTTTACTAAGTCTACAAATTATCCAAATTTGCAGAAAAAGAAAAACTGTCGACCTTGCGACTGCTCATCAAGAAAAGGACGTGCGTGAGATCTCTATCAAATTGCGGATGATATTAGATGAGCGGAGAAAAAGCAGTTGCAAGTCTGATTGAAAAGCACAAGGCTGTTACTGCGCACCTTCACTGCTACAGAGCACTGCAAAAACAATTTTCGATCCGAGAAGTTAGAATTCTTTATAGCTTGATCTCTGTTCTCATTTGAATTGTAAAAGTTACCGTGCTCTGTTCGCAGTGAGGGCCATTCCTGCGCCTTCCCATGGTGAACTGTCGAACTTCGATGTTGTACTGAACATGGCGCATAAGATAGATGTCATTAGCGACGTTCGAGCCATTTTCTTCTTGGTAAACCGCAGAATAATTTCCTGCAAGTGCCGCAATAAACAAACTCGCCGCTGCCTCGTTAGCGGCTCGTGTACTGTTGTATGACAAAATTCAAGGATGATTTTGAAGAAAGCGAAAGAATATTGTGGAACTTGTTATGCTGTTGGGCAGAGTTTGTTTTCGAATTTGTTTGCATTGCGTTTTCCAAATGCTCAGGTACACACTTATGCACTGTCGGTACCTTTGTTCCGCCATCTTGGTGACTGTCTTTGATTTGTTCGACGCACAATGGCGAATTCTTCCCTCTAACCATCTGAGTGCATTCACTTGTGCTTTTCTAGGTCATCCTACTGATTCATGAGGCTTTGAGCAGTACCTCTCCGTAGGAAACTAAGCACAATGACTGGCCTCACAATGGACTCGGCGATGCGCCGATTTCAAGATGTAAGTTTGTTTGTAACGTGACACTTAAGTCATTATTGCATTTAGATCCATAGTATGTCGCAAGAGGCGATTGAGACAATCTCCCTCTGGGTCATGCATTACAAAGATAAGAAGTCTATCGATATAATCGTTGAAGCGTGGCTTGAAAGTTTTAAAGTTGGTAAGTTCTTGAGAAGTTCATTCAATCTTTGTCTGATATTCTATGGGAATTTTTCCTTGAAGAAGTGAGCAGTATCTTCTTGTGCGGCACTTTGCATTTATTCACGAGTTTTCATTGTCCCTTTCATGTCTTTTTGGTGATCAAAGTGTATCTCTTGCCCTTTTGCCCCGTTCAGATGGTTTCTATAGTGACCCACGAGCAAAATTCCTTTTGTCGAGTTCCACTTCACTTTTATTCTTTTTGTCTTTTTTGGTTGAAAATTGTCATCACTTTTTCCAGCCAAGAAAGATGAACAGCGCATTGCGTTATTCTACGTGATGAACGACGTTGTTCAACGAGCTAAAAACAAGCATATGGATGTACTTATTCCTGCATTTCAACCTGCAGTATTGAGCGCCGTTACGATGGGGAAGTAAGTTTGCAGCCAAAAGAATCTTGGGCTTCTTGTTTTGTAATGGTTCTGGTATTCAGAAGTTCTCCAAGCGTTAAGCAAGTAATGAGTCGGTGCATCGATATTTTTGGTGAACGTCAAGTTTTTACGGAAGCTAGTGTTAATGTCATGAAGAATATGCTACGTAAGATTTTGTTGAAAGTGTCTGTTAAAGGTAGTAGACAGGCAGAATGGACCCTTCGCGGATTTTGGTGGAGTTAGGTAATAGACCCCCAAGAAGACCGTAGCCCATCCCTGCCTGCCAATTCATACGCTGAGACCTGAAAAATGCTCTTCAAAACTTCACCCGTGACGCCCACTCAGTGGAATTGGGAGGGGCTGGATGAGTTTTGAAGCACATTTTTCAAGGCTTAGCTCATGAATTGGCAAGTAGGGTTTGGGCTACGGTGTACTTGGG